CATTCTAACTGAACTTCGCGGGAAACGTACGAAACGGGGGAAATTAACTCGGTAGAGACCACTCGGCTTGCAAGAACGGAAACTCATCACGATTTCCTGGCACACGGAGATCTACTTCGAGCGAGCTTATACGGACGTCAAGGATGAGATAGCGTTTTGGTTCCACAGCAGACTTTTATTCGAAGAGCACTCTGACACACATCATGCCAGAGTCAAAACTAAAATTGTAATCGTCACGCGGTCGTCTGTGTAATCGGCACGCCGTCGTGTATGTAATCGGCACGCCGTCATGCATGTAATCGAAACAGCTTTACAAAGTACTTGCTTAACTATGAACTGGTGTGAGGTTCCATTGTTCTCTGAATCTACCATATTTGAATAGTATAACGAAAGAAGCGGAAAATGTTTCCTTGAAATTAAACGAAAGCCACTTAAATATTCCATCTGTTTCTATGACGAAAAGAATCTCAAACTGAAAAGACGGATGCAATAAACTCGAGACCATCAGAAATAGGAAACTTAGGTGAGAATTCATAGTACTAGTAAAAATATACCCATCTTAATTGCAGTAGCGCAGCTTAGGAAATAAAAGTGGAAAAGTAAGTAAAAGTTTCTGCTTATCTATGCAAGTTTGGCGTGGAAACTGTCGTATGAAAGGAATTTAAAATTACGAGTTTAAATTCAGCTGCCAACTAACATGAGAACCAATTTTTCCACAAAGACCATGAACACTTTATTTACCGAAAATTTCACTAATAATGAACAACAAAAGTACCGACGTGCAGGTGCATAATGAAAGCGAGTCACAAGCAAAATCTATTCCAAAAGCTACTGTGGTTTTCTATATATATATATATATATCTTTTTATTTACTAGAATGAAAGAACTTGTATGAACTCGAACAAACTGGATATGGTTAAATGCGAAAAGTCTACGCATAAATATGTTCCAAACAAACACGGAAAAATGAGTAAATTTTTCCGTAACAGTGTCCTTATGCATAGACGTGTATAGAAATGCAAGGCTCCGGACGTCCACAAATCTCTACATTATTTCTTTAGCTATCAGCGATATCATCAACGCAGTCATTGTAATACCTTTTATTGTGGGTGTCCTTATTACAGGGAAATGGCCTTTTGGTGAGGCAGTCTGCGATTTCCACGCCTTCTTCACCCTGTTTTCTGTTTACGTATCCCCAACCACGATGGGACTGACGGCCTTCAACAGATACGTCCGCATCATTAAGCATCAAAACTACCCACGAATCTTCACTGATACTCGATCAAAAATACATATCGCTGCAGTTTGGCTGACTGTCGCGGGGTACATTTCAATTCCCAAGATTGGAGGCTTGACTGAATATCGCTTCTTCGCTGGATACGCCGCTTGCATCGTTGAACAACCCACCATAGCCATTAAGATAGTTCATTATATCATTGTCGTCTGTTTTTTCTTTCTTCTTCCACTCGGATTTGCATTAGTTTCCTACTACAAGGTATTCAAAAAAATAAAACATCACAATCTAAACATGGCTTCGACGGCCCACGCCGAGGGCAGAGAAAATCGATTGACTGTCAAAGAGATCAAACTTACCAAATCGCTCGCCATTGTTGTGTTCGCCTTTGCACTGTGTTGGATTCCATTATGGTTTGGCACTCCTCGTTAATTTATGAGAGTAGATGAAGAAATAACTAGGTTTATTCAAATAACTCATTCGTTGATGATATCCCTGATGACCAAAGAAATCAGGTAGAGGTATGGAGCCTTGCATTTCTGTACAAGGCTATGCATATAAGGCAGTTTCCAATCAGGCACACCATTGTCACTGTAATAAGAATACATGGCTCCAAAATATTCAGAACAAGACTTCTCTGTTTGAGTTCCGAATCCATTGTTTTCCGTCCAGTTTTTTTTCCTTGTTTCTGGCCAACAGCTGAGTTTTGAATAATGGAAGAGCAAGGAAGCTTTAATAAAAAAATGATGACAGAAATACAAGGATCTAACTATTTTTTTCTGACTTTGGTTTCAATTGTTGAACGGTTTTGGAACTCCCCGTTGATTTATAAGAGTAGATAAGAAAAATAACTAGGTTTATTCAAATAATTCAACTAATGAATTCAAATTAATTCTAATAAGTTTTAAATTGTATGTATCAATTGAGACCTTTTCCTGTTACTGCCCCCTGTAAAGAAATTTCTCCTTTTTTGGATGTATGTGCACATGTGGTGACGAATGAATTAAATAAAATGACTGTGAAGCGGCGGTCTGTAAAACTGGGATATTAAATTAAATTTTCGATAGGCATCTGCTACATTTTGCTTGCGTTTCAATCACTCAAGTGTCAATAAAACAGTTCTTCTCATTTTCTCAGAGTATTCTTTGTTAACTTCTTCTACAGCTTTTGAATTATCTGCGGGAAATGCCCAGTCTTCTTCCCCACTCTGTTTGTGCTCTAATCAGTCGAGTGTTTTATTAAAACGATTTTCTCAATTTTAATAGAAAGTAGTCAACTTCCTTGATAGCTTCGAATAAGCCGTCTATGGAAGATGTTCGGCGTTCAGCATAGTTCGAAACTATTAAATCTGATGATGAAGACTGACATTTTCCGAAATCGAGACGTTTTCGTCACGAGGTCGTGGTGGGCATAATATTGAAGGTCCTCACAGATATTTTGCGTATCAGAAAACATGACGAGAAATGAGCTAAAGTAATGGTGACTGTGAATTTTGATTTGTTTTCAATAAGCTAGTATATCCATGAATTCTGGAATCAAGGACTGTTTCTTTTTACAAGCAATGGAAAAAAAAACTTTATCAGGTTACGTAAACACAAATCACTAAGTTGATATACGAAAGTGGAAAGTCATTAATAGTGATAGCAGACAGAAAATTGTGAGGGCAAAATCGCAACATAAAGGTAACTACTTTTTAATTGCATTGTCTGGTTTCTGTAATCTTTTTCTGCCTTTTCAGATTAATTTTCAAAATGCGTATTGAAAATGTAGTTACATATCGATTCAAGTGACCGCCCAATGTCGGAATTATGATTTCCATAGCAGCCTTGTGAAGTTTGGAGAAAAAAATACTCAATACATGTTCTATAAATTCGCATTTCGTAATTGTTTACAAGTCAAAGTGATTTTTTATTAAGAGTAGATACCATTTTTATGTGAAGGGCCTACTGTTCGAGCGATCCTGATTTAATAGATTATCCTACAATAATCATGGAATATTTACTCTTAATAAGGAGCTCTCTGTTGTTTTGAAGCCACACCCACCAGCACTTCACCTGAACATATTAATAGACAACTCGGATGTTTGTGAGATAATCGGCTTCAATCACTCTTTCCTTTTTTTCTTTGAAATGTTAGCTTTTTCTGAAACAAGATTTATACCTCAATATAATATAATATAATGCAGTTTGACTTATCAGGTTATATTATGGTGACTCATGTTTGCAATTCCTCTTTTGGAGACTGAGTGTCCCCCTGCATATAGCAAAATTTTGATTTCAACATTAGAGGCGATTTAAAAATTGATAAAACTGGAAATAGGTATGTTGACACCAGACATGACTGTTAAGGTTATTTACAATCAGCCAAATAGACAGTTGAAGGAATTTCTTGATAAACTTGAAGAGACAATGCATCTGGCTGGTCGAACCCTAACTTAACCGCCTTGATCCTAGAGACCTAAATATAAGCACATTTATCTCTAATACTGAATCCGAGGGTTTCAATCCTCTGATAATTTAGGTCATCAGGATCGCTGAAAAATTCAGGAAGTTTGTCTTGACCATATTCATTCCAATTTCGTGTCTTATAGTATTGGTGGTAGTATTGCGAAATAATAATTTGACAAAAAAATCAATTTTTTAATTGATTTAAGAAAGATTAATAGGCCATTTTCTATACATTAGAATTCTCACATGGTTCCAAGTCTTGGGGAAATAAAACAAAATAAATTTAATCATTCATTCCCCAACCTCGATGTGATTTCCTTTGTTTTATTCCTCCAAGCCTCAGAGCAAAGTTCGAATTTTAATATATCGAAAATGGCCTATTAGTCTCCTGTATTAAAAGCTGCTGAAACAAATGAAAGTTCAGTGAATTTCTACATACCTTTAATACCATAAGCAACGAACAAGCTCCTCTGAAAACGAAGGAAAACCAAAGTAAATCACATAACCTTGAGTAACTAAGATTAAGAGATGCTGCTATGGCTTTTAAGTGCCTCAAAGGTCTAGCTCTATCGTACTTGAGCGACAGGCTTATCATAAGATCAGATATCCACGGCCGTAACACTAGAAGTCTGTGGCAGATTCCGAAGTGCTGCTCATCTGCATGTCAGGACGGTTTCTTGTGGAGAAGTTACAGCGTGGAACAATCTGCCCAAAAGTGTTAGATGTAATGACTCTTTTTAAGTTTTAAACTAGTTTTAAACAATATTTTTAAGGAGTACTGATATAATTTTTAAATATAGTTATCATAAGCATTAGGATATTACTATGGTTTTTGTTATTCTTCAAACATCATTTTTTTCATTGTAATTAAACCTTGAAAAGTCTCGATGGGTATATATATATATATATATATATATATATATATATTTGTGTTTCGATATTTCCCCTTAGTACAATGCTCGACACGTAGAAGTAGAGTGCGATGTACACTTAGATAAGGAAAAAAACAAAGGGACTATACTTTCATCCTTAGAAGCCTGTTTCGTGATTACCCACTCACCAGGGGATTTTATTGTCAAGAATATTCGTAACCATCGTTTATAAACTTTACAGATTTGCATAATAGGCGTGGCGGTAAATCTAGGTGCTTTGTTCAATTGTTACGCGGTAACGCGTTGTTTCTGTGGCTGCATGAGGACACGAGTTCATCACGTTTATTGAGTGATGATATTGAGTGGTGTAGGCTATGTGAAGGGCTGGTAGGTGCTTTTATTCAGGTTGAAAGTGACGTCTAGGAAGTTGATGGTCTGTTTGTTGGTTTCGATGGTGATCCGTAGTCCATTATGATTAAAGATGCGGCGTATTTCCTTTTTGATGTTTTCTGTATCTCTCGGTGTGGCGTTGGAAATGGCCAGTCCGTCGTCTCGGCAAAATCCGATGTTGATGTTGAGGTTTTGCAGTTGGAAAAGGAGGAAACTTCCTCCTTAGCTCACATGTTTCAGCACCGTCGTAGCTGCCCATTGTGACGTCAAATGTTGTATCGCCCTTCTTTTGCCGAGGTTGCTGTTTGTGCATAAGGATCGAATATTTTGCATGTATTATGATGTTTCTTTCGTCGTCAGTGATGTTGTCGTAAGCTGAGGCAGAGTCGAAGAAGTAAGCTTTCTAACGTATTCTGCTAGGTTTTTTCAACGAGGCGTAGTAAGAAGTCGTTCTGCGATGGTGGAGGAATATTCTTGGTGGAGGAATATTCTTTGTGGAGTAACCAATATTGAATTTTCCCATTGCGGATTATCGTAGAGTGCTCGAAAAGTCTTAACCTGGAGCGAATTAATAAGTCTGTTTCGATTTTTCCAAACACATCGATGACACCACAGATAACACCAACACAATCGACAGCAAAACTTGCAACTGCCGACAGAGAACACATGCCCACTTAACGGAAGCTGCGGCATGAGGACACGAGCTCATTACGTTTATTGAGTGATGATAATTCGGGTCGGCGAATGATGAGTAATTTTTCTTTGAGGTAGAGGTTGCATCTTTAATTTGCGCTGTTGTAGGGCGATCTTAATGAACGAATGCACCATGAAATATAGTGGTCAATGTTATTTTCTTTAAGGGTACAGATATGCTTGCTGAGTTCGGTAGAGTTTCTGAGTTTTGTGTGCTGGAATGATGCGGTGTGGTTTCTGTCCTAGTCTTGAAGTCATTTTCTGTAAGTCCGATGTATGTTTCAGTGGTGCTGTTGTCCTTACGTGTGACGGTGGCTTGGTAGATTAGTGATGATTGGAGGCAGTTTCCGTTAAGTAGGCATGTGTTCTTCTGTCGGCAGTTGCAAGTTTTGCTGTCTTTTGTGTTGGTGTTATCTGCAGTGTCATTGATGTGTTTGGATGAATTTAGAATGCGTTTGTTGTGGTTGTCGATGATCTGTTTAGTGTTATTCATGCAGCTGTAACTGTATCTTGATTGTTATACGATTAAAAATTTTCTAAGTTGTGGTCTTTAGGGAAGTACTTGTCTATTAGGGCAAGGAATCTGTGTCCGATATTAGTGCTGACGTTTTTGCTGAATGGGGAGTTGCACCAGAGAATGTTGTTCCTTTGTCTGTTTTTCCGGTTGTTAGTCGTGCGTGGTTCGTAATGTAGAGTGTACCGGTATCCGCATTCGTCGAGTGCTTTTTGGTACGGCGGAGCGGCTTGGTTGAAACCCAGTTGGTTGAAATTTTTGTCACTTACGTTTCCATTTGCGTTTCTTTCTTCTTGGGTGAGGGCTGGAAACATTTTTCTCCTTTTCTGCCCTTGAAGAATTTTCTTTGCAGAAAGCCGAAGTTGAGGTTGAAGTAAGGAATTTCCTCAGCCATAATGGTTAACCAGCAGAATTTTTGTTTTCTGCGTTAGGCAAATCTTGGTGAGGTAGCTTGCGTGCATAAGCTGCGCTATCATGCATTCTGATGAAGTAACTGCGTGCTTTATGGAGATATAA